ACCTCTGGTATTGCAGACGTTCATAGGCTACGGTAACCGCTTACCATCAAGTGGGCCGTATGCTTGTTTGCCACCTCAGTGGTATAAAAAAAATTATAGTTTTTATATTAATATTTACTAAATTCCAAATTGGCACGCATCTCCATTGTTTCCTTTTGGCTTCCTTTCACTGCCCTAATCTTTTAAGTTCCTTTCGTCAATATACACATATTTCCAATTTTCATTCCTGGTTTCCTTTGTCGTCCACAATTATTTTTATTTTAGAACCATGACTGCTTACAATATTTATAAAATTATTTATTTAAATTGTTCTTAGTACATTTTGATAATTGTTCAATATGATGCCTTTGGCCACTTTCTACCATTGTACGGCACGCCATCGACAGGGAGTTCACCCTCATATCCTACAGCCTTAATGGTCGCGCACAACGCGATTTCAGAGATGTTTCCTCCCACGTACACTCAGGTTACAGAATGAGCTCCCTGCCGAGGTTTCTCCAAGAGACTACAGCATGGGGTTCTTCAAAAGAAGGGTTAAGAGGTTTCTTCAGGGTTGGCAAAGCGCGCGTAATACCTCTGGTATTGCAGGTGTTCATAGGTTAAGGTAACCACTTACCATCAGGTGGGCCGTACGCTTATTTGCCACCTCAGTGGTATAAAAAAAAATTCAGATACTTTTGAATCGTGAAATCCTGAAAGCGAAATAGCAATAGACGATTTAATGTTGATTAATCTTGTTTATCTATTTGTTAAGTTTGGTCACGTACCGACCAAGAAATTTATATATTTTTTTAGGGTCCAAGGGATGTAATTACAAGGTTGGCAGAACATTTTAACTCACCAGCTGAATTCTAAACGTTTAATGAGAGGATTACAATACTAATATTGTTTTTGTTTGCATTTGTCGTTAGTAGGTCTAAAGAGGCTACATTGTTATGTTTGTTTTTTTTTATCAAATAATTAAAAATTAAGATTGTTTTAACAAAAAAATCGACAATTCTTTTACAACACAGAGGGCAAACGAGCATGCGGCTCACCTGACGGTAAGTGACTACCGCCGCCCATGATCACCCATAACACCAAAGGCGTTGCAGATGTACTGCCGACCTTTTAAAAAGGAATATGCTCTTTTCTTGAAGATTATGTTGTCGTATCGGTTCGGAAAGACTGCTGCTGGAAGTTGTTTCCAAAGAGTGGTTATGCGTGGTAGAAAGTGTGGCAAAAATAGTTATTTTGTTTTAGAAAATAAACTAATGAACAGATTTTGTTAAAATTTCTATAAGACCAGTTTGTAAGTACATCCTTTAAGATAAAAAAAAAAAAAAACTCAAATCAGTTTGCAACTGACTCCGTCGGTGAGGTAACACACATAAAAAATACAAACGAATTAAGAACTCCTTCTTTTTAAAGTTGGTTAAAAAATAAATAATAATAATAATAAGAAAACATATAAATGTATGAGATTATGTTTTGCAACTGGCAGGTTTTTGTTTCGCAAAGAAAACTAGCAATTCTGTCTAATGTTCATTCTTCCATCTAATCAACGTAAACTTAATATGGGATAATGAGGTCAATTCGAAGGCGCCGAGATTTTCATATTCTTGTTTCCCTAATGGGAGATGAGCGTATACAGATATGTAAGTATGTATGTCTATATTATTTTCTATACAACCTTTCTTGTCCATTCTATCTTAGTGAGCTATATATATATATATATATATATATATATATATATATATATATATATATATATATATATATATATATATATATATATATATATATATATATATATATATATATATATATATATATCTTACATCTGATGCATCACAAAGATTCATTTTCGTACCTCTGAAATCCATGCGTACGGTATTTTTTTAATAGGTGATAATGGTATGGTAACCCCGTCTGCGCTATCGGTATACAATGGCGGGGCACCAGTGATGGATTACTAATGATGATGAAAGCAGGTCAGTTAGACCATCCTGAAGAATTCAAATAGAATTAGCCACGATGGTTTTCAGGGGGAACCACGTGGTCGACCTGACAGGGTATATTGCTAGTAATGGGGCTATTTTTTTTTTAATGATTGATAATGGAATGGTAACCCCTCCCGCGCTTTCGGTATACAGCGGCGGGGCACCAGTGAAGGATGATAGGTGAGCATGAAGTAGGTCAGTTAGCCCATCGTGACGAATTCAACAAGAATTGTTCACGATGGTTTCCAGGGGGAACCATGTGGAGGTCAACCTAATAGGGCATATTGCTAGCAATGGGGCTGTCAAACACCGTTGCTAACAATCCCATTCCCCCAAGTAATGCGGTTATTTGACCCCATTACTAACAATCCCTTTCCCCCCTGCGTATGGTGTTATATTATGGTGTCCTACACAACAGTCATAAAAATCTCTGTATAATCCAATAGCTAGAACGTGGTATCTGCTAATGGGTATAGGCGTGGCTCACGCCATCTATTACCGGTTGGGTGACCTCTGTAATTTACTGCGGTACCCTGAGGGACTGGGCAATATACGTCCATGCAGTAATTGTGGACCTTTGATTCACATCTCACTACCCAATACTAACTGGTCACTAAAGAAATGTTTATAGTTCTGAAAGTATTCTAAATTGTGTATTGACTTCAAAAAGAAGGGCATTCTTAATTCGTTTTTTTTTTTATGCTAGTAACACCGTCTGTTGTGAACCGAATTGGAAAATTCTTTTTTATCAATAAGGACAGATTTTTTTTTATACAACTTAGAATGGCAAGCAAGCTGACGGCCCACCTGATGAAATGGTAACCGTCGCCTATAGACATGAGCAGTACCATTGACATAACAGAGTATACTGTTTCGCCCATGATACCCCCCATGCGTTTCCATTCCTGAGGACTCAGGTGTTATTCCTCTGTACCCTGTAAATTCACGCCATATCCCACCCTTCAGACAGATAATCAGTTCAGTGGTTTAATTTGAAATCAAAATAACAGATTCGGTTTACAATTAAAGCCAGTTTTTTTTAATCCAATCTTTGTATGGAAATCCGTATAATTGGTTAGTTGATTGAAACATTTTTGTTTAAGTTGATTTTCGGCTTGTTTACACATATTTCGATACGTTCGCAATAAAGAAGCAGGTAGGTACTATTTACCTGTAAAAGCTTTTACAAGGTCGCAAATTGTGTCTCGCGTATCTCTGACCATTTATACATTTACACTCATAATTATTGCAACGAAGAATAAGCAAACTGATGTAGCAATGGGCTGGTCACAAAGTTAGAAGAACTGACGATGGGGAAGAAAGGATCTTAAGTGGGGACCCCATATAAGTAAATGCAGTGAAGGACGACCATACACTAGATAGAGTGATGACCTCAAATGTATTGCAGCATGTCAATGCAGGATGCAGGTGAATCAAGACTGTTCCTTATGTCGGTCTATGGAAGAGACCTATGTTCAGCAGTGGACAGATGGCTGATGAGATTTAGAATGACTGATCTGATAATAAGATAGACAGATAAATATTACCAGTATTAGGAAAAGAAAAAATTAAAACAACAAAAAGTAAAAAAAAAACAATTAGTGTTGTTGGTAATAGGAGCCGCCTCAGTTGTTGCTATATATGTACAGCTCCAGCGAGATGTACCTATATAGCGCTGATTTTCAGGCGGCCCCTTAACTCTTTTACCTTTAGCATGCGCGCGGGTCGCCAACACCTATTTTTCGGATGGGAGACTCAACACGCTTAACAATAAATACATAAAACATTACAACAAAAACACAAAACATTACAACAAATACATAAAACATTACAACCAAAACTGAAAAGAACTAACTCTGAACAAATTATCGCTCCTCAGAATGACAGCATCATAAAAAAATTAAAAAAAAAAGAACATGAAGCGTCAGTTTCTCAACTGTTTTGAATTTGATGAATGGTTTAAATAAAACCAGTAGATCAGCAATAATTAGCTAGATTATTGACATCTTAGGTATATGATATTTCTTGTTTTATATTGCTACAATATGTTAGTTTCCAATTTACGGTAAGTTATGAAATTGAGTTTATATTATAGTATATAGATAGTATTCTTGATCTGATTTATTCACCTGAACCTGAAGATATCGAATTTGAGATCTTCAAAGAAACATCCAATATTGTTTAATATTCCGTGCAGCACTAAAAATTCATGTTGAACTACAAAGAGAACACGCAAGTAAAATTTAAGGGCGTCCCTTCTTTGGCACTTACAAGTCCTTTGAACCAAACCGCATATTGTCGGCAATAAAAACTTTTTTCATTATCTCCGGTATGGGAGCTTATTGAAAATAACAATGTCGCGGGTTGCTTTTGTTTTATTGTAAATTACTTGCCCGGAACGCTCCAGTACGAAGGGAGAGATGCTTTCGTACGTTTCCGTAGTTTGTAACCGCCCTGAGACTTGGAACGGGATGCCTAAACACAAAGGAAAGTATAATGGATACTTCTATAAACTTTTCTCATTGGGCTTTTCATAAATAGCTAATAGTATCTTCAACACGCGTGATGGGTATATAATCCTTGTTTAGTGGATTGGTATATATTACATCATTGACGACGCGTATGATACAGGAAAACTAATAGAAGAGTACAAATTAATGAAATTTAGTAAGGGTTGTGATTACAGTTAGGGCAATCTAGTTGAAATATCGAATAATTCGTGTTAATACCTATTAAATGATATCTATAATAATGACTATTTAAAAATTTTATTGACTTTCGTAAATCATTATTAGTTGTTATTTTCTTTACCTATTCCAATAATACAGTTAGAAGTAAGTTCGTGATTCACTGTTCATCCCAAAAGTTGACTGGTAAAGAACGTTACTAGCACTAAGTCTGCTTTTGTACCTCATTTTGGTCAATAAAATTATTTAAATAAACAAATAAATGACAATAGATATTAAAGTCTGAATATCTTTATTGCAATACATTACGTTACGTAAAATAATCACATTATTATTGCTCGGCTAAAGAATGATTACTTTGAGTGTTACTACTTTCTACATGGGCTGTTTTTCGATGGAGCGTCTTTGAGTCTTCTAAAGATGATGGCAACTCAGCATGCTTAGTTTCAGGTAAAGGGTAACATAATAGGGCACCGAATATAGCCATTATGCCAAATATGATTCCAGACTGTAGCTCGGGCAGAGAATTTACAAATGGAGCTACAATTTGCCCCAATCTTGATAATACCGATAGAAATCCTAATACAGAATTTCTTACGGATGTTGGAAATAACTCTACTCCGTAAAGAAATACAATAATGAAAGATATGAAGAAGAAACAGTTGCCAATACAAGCAAATACCACCCTAACCCATGCTAAATGATTTGGAATACAAATTACGATAATCATGAAGAAACCTGATAGAAAATTTGTAGACATCAAAAAAGTACGTCTCTTTAATATTTTTAAAAGAAAAATAGCAGATATTGTTCCTGGCAACAACAAAGCGCCAGATATAGCAACGTTTGCGTGTATGTCACCGCTCATTTTTCCAATATATTGAGATACACCGTAATAACCCATTCCACATACGAAATAAATGAGTGACATACATCCAAGATTTTGCAGTAACCTCCTATGTTTGAAAATTTGCCAAAACTTTATCTTTCTTCGATTTCTGTTTGCTTCGGTTGCATGGAATGCTTCTATTTCTTCTTTTATAATTTCAAATGATGTTCTATTGCTAAAAATTAAAAGCACATTTTTATTTAGATTTAGTGCAAGTTTTATGTAAATTATGTATATATTCAATTCAAGATTAATATTTTTAATGCTAACAATTTTGAAAGTCTTTCCATGACCATGGCAGCTTCTTCGATACGATCGTTATCCATCAACCATTTAGGAGATTCCATTATCAGCCATCTTAAACCCACAAAAAGGAATATAGGTATTGAAAGCGCTAATTGGAACTCATCGCAATCTCTTAGTAGATACGAAACTCCAGGCAAAGTTATATGGCCTAAATTTACAGGAATATGGAAAAGGGCAGTGATCATTTCTCTGTATCTAACACCAAAATATTCTACACATAAGACATAGGATGTGACTATAGCTCCACCAACTCCAATGCCCTCTATACATCTCATGATGATGAAAGAACCTGCAGTGGGCATGGTACTGACGAGGCATCCAGATATTGCTAATATCAAGCAACACATTGAAAATACAGAAAGGCGTCCATATCTGAAATAGATGTTTTTAAAGTATCAATTTTTTTTTATATATTACCTAAAATGGTAAACAAACTGAGATTTCAACTAATAAATAGTGATAACCTTCGCATATAGACATGAATTAATTGTGATATTCATAGTATTCCTCATTGCCTAACTCAGGACTCTGCACCATTTTTAGGGTATTATAGTTTCTCATTTGCTTGTAGTCAAATATTTTTAATTCATTCTTATCTTTGTTGTCTATTGATAAATTATATATTTTTGATTTATGTACCTATTTTAATGCATTAGAAACGTGTATTTATTGTTACGAACTGAATTAAATAGCAGATTGTTTAATCATTTATTATTTGTTAATTTACTTATTTAACTTCATGTACAAAAGTACACATGGTAGACATAACACCTAAAAGCGTTCTCTACTAGTCAACCATGAGACCTTAGATTATATAGAGTATCTCCATAGAAATGCTTCGAGAAAAATGGAGAAAAATTTCATAATTAGCTGACAAAAAGTTGAGCCGTTTTTAACACACAATTTACCATTAATGAAATTTTGTCAGTAGCTGCCATTTTTGGCAGGTAGGAAGCCATATTTATAAATATGTGCAATTACAACTATTTTCTGAATTAGCCAGTAGAATCAAAAAGAAAAAAACAAAGCGCTTAAAATTAAGTTTGTGATATTTCTATTTCATTGTATATAGTTAAAATATTACTTACTTATCAGATAAAAACCCGAAAACTAAAGATCCAAACAATGTGCCCACATACAGCATGCTCTCTGAAAAGCTAATTAACCATGTACTATCGCAAATAAGCGCAAATTTTGTTTGCACAGTTTCAGTAAACACGTTTCTATTCCACCAAGGTTCGTTGCATGGACACACATTTTTCAAATCAATGGAATCATTATTAGTATTCGTTTCTGTTGCATTACAATAGTACTCCATAGGAGGTGACAAAAATATAAGGTTCAATACGTGCCAGAAGATTGGTAGTTTGCTTAGAAACAGAAGAAAAAATAAATAATAATGATATGGAGAAATAACATCCAAACGTTTTTCTATTGGATTGTTTAGTTTGATATTCTTTACTCTTGGCATTTTGGTAAAAAATATAAATAACTATAAAATAATATACTAATCCAATATCTCATGACTGTGTCATGATTATTACTTTAATCTAGTTGGTTTCGATATTGTAAGTACATATATGAAAGTAAATAGATGCCTGTGATCTTTGTCAACCCGAAATGAATTGTCGTTTGTAAGTATAGACAAATATAATTCTATAAAAAGAAGAATTTATTCTTATAGATATATGTATCTTATATTAAATATATTATTAATATTTTTAATTTCCTACTAGTCCACATTTTATTATATTTTTATGTTTGTTACCTCATAACGCCATCAGTTATACGAGTAGATACTTGAAAGAATATTCCTTACAGATTGGTCCTTATTGGTATTAAACTTGATTGATAGCATTTCAATTATTAAATCAAAATAACTGGGTTTTCCATCACTGAAAGTGGTTTTTTTTTTTAACTTAAATTGATAATTCTAAAAGTGATTTTTTTTAAACAACTTAGAATGGCAAACAAGCTGACGGCCCACCTGATGGAAAGTGGTAACCGTCGCCTATAGACATGAGCAGTACTACAGACATAACATTTCGTCCATGAACGCATCAGGGGTACCCCTTGCGTTGCCATTCCTGAGGACTCAGGTGTTATTCCTCTGTACCCAGTAAATCACGCAACTTGTTTTGTTTTTGTTACCTCTTAGGACATTAATGACTCAAATTATATTGATGATATCACCATCATCATATCAGCCTTTAATTGTCTACTGCTTAACGTAGACTTCCACCGTAAGGTGGGGGGGGGGGGGGTTAAATCATCTCAATAAAATATTTATATTTAATTATTTGCATCACCCACGATTACATTGGTGTGACTGGAAAATGTGGACTAATCGTTATCAAAATTAGTATGTATATGCCATCCATTTATACCAAATTTAAAAATGCCAAATTACCAAAAAAGTAATAAACAAATTCATTTTTCAAATGTTTTACTGAACTATGTGTTACTTTGCTGTTATGGACTTCCATATCCCTGGTTGTTTGATTCGAATTTGTTTTGTTTATTTACACTACCATTAATATGTGTGTGACTGCCAACATTCGAAGATTGAATACCACTATTACTACCAAAAGTTCCACAATCTTCCATATTAGCTATCAATCTTCGACTGTCATTTTGTTCACGGACATTTTGCGACACGTGTCTCATCTCTAAACGTGGTACATTCAGGCAAATTATTAGATCACTGCTCGGAGTCTAGTGTTAACCATTCTGCGTCCAAATTGCGAAGCTCATTTTCACATTTAGATTAATAAATAATTTATTTTTACTATTTATCATTATCATATTGATATGTTTAATTATCCACTGCTGAAAATAAGCCCTTGGGGGGCTTTGCCAGTAGTCGTCAAGCTTGACAACCGCAATTAGGCTTTATTAAAACATCTTTAAGAGGGACACTGCTGCCAATCCCTTGCTCTCCTTAGTCGTCTCTTACGACTCTAACGGGATAGGAAGGTATGATCTATTCTATGCTGGGACCACATGACCAATTATATATGATGATATTAGATATGTCATTTGTTAATTCCCTTCGCTGATGCCCCGCCAGCTTATACCATTAGCGTAACCGGGGTTACCATTCCATTATCATCCATTTAAAAAAAAATATTTCGCTCTAAAACAGCATCTACAACATTATGCTTGAAAAGATTTTAAAGTTTGCCACCTACTCGGTCGAACAACAAAACCGCTTATGGAATGTTACTTAGAATACATATGAGAGTATGATGAATCGTTCCCAGTCCATCCATCATCTTCAGATTGTGACTCAATTCAGTAAAAATTATATAAACTTGGTGTTTGCGGTCTGTCCCTTGTCATTTTATGGACTGAGGTTGATAGAAAATAACCTCACTCTAATCGATGTAATTCTATAAATACAGGGAATAGATTATTTTTTAGGTATTCACTGAAGTACTATGCGAAATAGTTAATAATTGTTTATTTTATCCTTTTTTGTATTTTAATTTAAAATGCCGAGAGGATGTATTTTCTATTCTATTATATTATTTATAGATTTATATAGGGAGTTTTTATACTTTAGCTTATTTTAAAGAGTCGTTATCAGAAATAGGTAAGATAAAAATAATATCAAAATTAAGGGCATAACAAATAAACATTGTAGTAGTAGATATTTCAATTTATATGAAACTATACATATTATTACTAACCTAAGTAGTTACATGTTATCACAATTAATATAAAACAAAGTCGTTGTCTGCGTTTGACTGTTTCTTTGTTTACTTCTAAACCTCGCCACGAGGAAGAGAGTGTGGGATTATTATTAATGAGGTTTAGCAGCCCCACTACTTACAATATATCCCATCGTGAAAACTTCCACGCAATCTTTTTTGCCACTAAACCATAATGGTTAATTTCAGGACAGTTCGATTACCATTCCGTTATTATTCATTATACTGTGTCATTTGGATATTTTTTGCAAAGCGTTCAGATCGAATGATCATCGCAATATTAATACGTAAAAAAGTCACATTGAAAATCACTTTTATTTCGGAGCCGGTTAAAAGATAAACCCTATAATAAACCGGGAGCACAAATGCACCGTAAATATCGGTGCAAAATTTCCGCCACGCACACGCCGAGGCGGTTAATCCGCCGCGTCTCCGCTGATTCTTGCACGTCAAATAAATCACTGAATTTTCATTCAAGACGTGCTCCAGGATATTAATCTCGTTCGTCAGTCAATGTTGAGAGTGCGTATTTTAGGTTTCCATGAATATGTGGCTTTGAACATTACTTGCTTTTCGGTGATTGATATACGTTCAGCCATTTGATTGATATACATACGACTTTATACTTTCAAAAGGTAGGTGCGTACTTCATGTGGCCACGATACGTGATTACGTAGACAATTTTAAAACGATTCTTTTTATTTTTTATTCTACACAGGTGGCAAACAAGCATACAGTGGGAGACTTTGTACAAAAGTCGATTGCTTGTGTACCTCTGTCCCATTCGTGTTTCTATCGTAAAGCAGTTGTGTTTGCATGGCTGTGTTTCGGTTTGAAGGGTGGGATATGGCGTGAATTTACAGGGTACAGAGGAGTAACACCTAAGTCCTCAGGAATGGCAACGCATGGGGGTATCATGGGTGAAACAGTTATGTCCATGGTACTGCTCATGTTTATAGGTGACGGTTACCACTTTCCATCAGGTGGGCCGTTAGCTTGTTTGCCATTATAAGTTGTATAAAAAAAAATAGTATAGTATTATATAGTATATTAGATTAAGCAGGAATTAGCACAGTACTGGTGATCGACTTCGCGCAGGCATACCCTTGTCAACTACCTAGTTACCCATATTTTTCTCTCGTCAAACGCTGTCGAGTTATCACGTAACCGCAAAGAGCGCAGCGGTACGCTGCACCAGCTACGGAGTTGCATGCTTATTGCGGTTTATAAGGTGATTAAAGTATTTTGATATTATCATAATAATAAAAAGGCATTAATAAAAATAAATAATTTATTAGAATAGTTGATAAATTTATAAATAAATTAATAAATTTATAAATAAATTAATAAATTTATAAATAAATTAATAAATTTATAAATAAATTAATAAATTTATAAATAAATTAATAAATTTATTTCTAATAAATTAACGAACAAAAATAATTGATATATGTAAAAAGGCCGGCAACGCAAAAGCTAATCTTCATGTCTTGCAAATATTTATGGGCGACGGTAGCCGCTTCTCATCAGGTGGACTGTCTGTTTGATTGTCTCTCTATTTATAATTACTAGTAATTCTTTATTCTAATTAACAGCAATTGCGGTTTACGATAGGTGAAAGAATTTTTGAAATAACTCTAGTAATTATTAAGTTTATCCATTGCAAATAAACAATCAAATCTTTCTTCTTTATAATATTTTTTTTTATCTCGCAATGGTAAATGCCATAAAGAACGGTTGTGTTCCTTATGACAGTCTATGGGAGAGACCTATGTTCATCAGTGGACAGATAATGGCTGATATGATAACCAAAATAAAAAGGATTGTGTAAAATATAAAAAACTAATTGTCGTACGATCCAGCATATATGCATGTACATCTGACAACTGGTTGATCTATTAAAATGCAAAATATAATAAACTTTTACTTTTATACCACTGAGGTGACAAACAAGCATACGGCCCACCTGATGGTAAGCGGTTACCGTAGCCTATGAACGACTGCAATACTAAGAGCATTACGTGCTCTTTGCCGACCCTGTAGAAACCTCTTTATCACCTGTTTGAAGAACCTCATGCTATAAAAGCGTCTTTTGGTAAAACTTCGACAAGAAACTCACTCTAAAATCTGGGCGTTCGTATTTTAGTATGTGCGTATAGACAATACATTTTATCATAAAAATTGTCTTTGTTTGTATTAAAATAATTTTTTATTCAAGCATCAATTTCAATTTCAGCACATACGGCATTCTACCGCACTGTACCGAATGCAATCAAGTTGAGTGTTTTAAAAAATTGCAGTTTTATTATACACTTACAAATGGGAGTTGCGTTAAATAATTTTAAAGCCTCACTTTTAGCATTGCGCAAATATTTTTTCTCAAATTTGATCAGTTCGGTTCGTGGCTCATATTTTTTACAATACGATCAAGTACAAGTATGGTTTATTAGAGCTCTTCAACTTATTATATTATATATTTATTAAAAGTGACAGTTTAATTAAAAAACCTTATTACGAATCTTAATAAATGAATTTAAATTATTTTTGAATGAGTTCTATAAATTTTGTGTGTATTAATTCTTAGTTTAAGTTAATTAAAAGTTTGTTTTAATATTATTGTAATATTTTAAAGGCTTTGAGTTAATTTACCAGAGGGCTTGGCTACCTCTGTTCCATTCGTGTTTCAATCGTGAAGCAGTTGTGTTTGCATGCCTGTGTTTCGGTTTAAAGGGTGGGATATGGCGTGAATTTACTGGGTACAGAGGAATAACACCTGAGTCCTCAGAAATAGCAACGCATGGGGGGTATCATGGGCGAAACAGTATACTCTGT